CTGAACACAAGCAATCAGTTATACATGTACAGTAGGTCTTGAGGCAGATCTAGAGAAAAGCCTATTTGTTCCCTCATTCTTCCTTTTCATTTACAAACCAGTTGCATCTTCCTTTCACTTTGCTCTGTTTCCTCTTAATAGTCTAGATACGTTAGCAATGCATTAAGCATTCCCTGTCATTTTCACTAACAGAGCACTATTCTGTAGGAAAGCCTATGTCCCCTGGTAAAGGTAAAAGATTGCTCACTGAAAGAAAGATGTTCTCCCCATAGATAAAATACCTCAGCCATGCAAGTCTTGGCAGGAATATATATTAAATACTTTGAATTACTAACATTTAATAGATTTTTCTGCAGATGATGGAAGAATGCATTAAGCAGGTATCAGAATTCTGTATAAAAACTAGGATGGAGACAGATTTATTTCACTAAGATTTCAACTATTTAAACCGAGTCAGTAACCAGTAAAGAAATCTATTTTTACTTGGTTTTTCACTCATCATAATATTACTATTCCATTGTCCTTTAAGATGATGCAATCCAAATGAAGTGTAGAAAACTGGACCCTGATGTTATTTTCATTTATTGAGAACACCAGGAACCACCAAAAAACACCACAGCAGCCTTCAAGAAATTGTAGTGAACTTCCATTCTGTCACATACAGCAACTCTGAGGGCTTTCTCAAAGACCCACATGGGGTGTGATGATCCAATTCAGTAACAAATATATAAAAGAACAAACATGACCAGAATGTAATGAGGAAAACCATTATGTTCAGGCAAGACTCAGATAAACTCCAATAAATGTGGTATCTTTTTTTTTTCCCCTCAAGCACTTTCTGGTTTTAATTCCTCTGAGTTGTAATATTTTATAAGCAGTAAGGAAAAAAACTGCTGATGATTTCTTGTGGTGGTGGTACTTTGCTATCAATCCATTAACTACCATCTGAAGGCAATAAATGCAAATGCATGAAGTTGACCAAAATCCAGCAGCAACCCTTACCAAGCTTTTATTGTGAGAGGAGAGACACCAGGAAGAAACAACACTCTAAGAGAAAGTAAGGACAGCCCCTGGTTACCAGTGACACTTAACATGAAGGGGTGAGCAATGAGCACTAACGGCATAGAAGCAGAGAGCAGAAAAGGCCCAGATGCTGAAGGGTATTCACTCTCCTCAGTTCCACTGAAATCAATAGGCGTTCAAAGGTCCAAATCCTTCAGAGAAATCCGTTCTTAACTCAAAGAAAGGATGAGGAAAAAAAGCCACACTAGCTAGACTACATAAATGTGTGCTGAATTTTTGTTTAATAAATTTTGTCTTGCTTGCGAATGTTTTTGTTTCTACTTGAATGCTCCTAACACCCTCCTCCTCAACAAATCTGAGATGCAAGGGTTAGGAGCTACAAGGATGCACTCAGTAGCAGCCTGCACCCACAGAATTCAAGTATTGCACAGTGAAACAGTAAAAGGTCTGTTAAATATGAACTCCTAAATTAGCATTTAATTCAACTGTAATTTCAAATAGCTTTATCTTTCCACGGATCAGACTAATCAGCTGATTCTAAAATATCCACTGCTTATCTTGATTATTCCCCATATTTAACTCTTAGCTTTTTGCTCTGAAAACATTTTCCTTTTCATTTATCTTGGCTACTGCTACATTAAGCAGCTTGCTGGTTTTCCTTCTGTTTGGATTTCATATTGACATTGTTACCTTCCATCTGGGGATACATTCAGCTTCATTAAACTTGTGCAGATCTGAAATCTTTCAGTAGCTTGTGTACTGTGCTGATTTTTCACTCTTGGATCCACACTTTAATGCTATTTGGAGCATAAGACCTTGAGAAGGTAATGCTTTGTGTTTATTCTTATCTTCTCTTTCCACCTAATATCAAAAGCAGCCAGCTGGGGACAGGTTTTCATATTTCATTTTCATCCATCTACTCATTTGTAAATGAAATTAATGTCTTTTTAATTAATCAACACTTTTTCAAGCTTCAGAGCAATACAAGTCACTCAGGTATGACCTCTTGTAAGCACTGTATTGAGCTATATATGCTGCAGGGCTTATTGTAGCACTAATCACAGGAATCACAAGGACCACTCACAATGCAGCTTGCCTGCAGACAACAGCACTTTGCAGTATAAAGAATGGCCAGTGGGTGAATCCCACTGAAACAGTTCATGTGATAAGTGCCACAGCAGCTGGCAATGCCTGCCCTAGCAGAGATTTGTACTTCAGGGGCTGAACTGCATCTATCCCCAATTTCACCTCAACTTGCTAGCTGTGGCTGGTGCAAGAATTCTTCCCAAGACCAAGAAAGGAACGGTACGAATGCTGGGGTTAGTAATACTAACACTGTACTAACAAAGAAATAGTGTGGCCAGCAGGAGTAGGAAAGTGATTTTGTCCCTGTGCTCAGCACTGGTGAGACTGCACCTCGAATGCTGTGTGCAGTTTTGGGCCCCTCACTACAAGGAAGACATTGAGGTGCTGGAGTGTGTCCAGAGAAGGGCAACGAAGCTGGCGAAGGGCCTGGAGAACAGGTCTTATGAGGAATGTCTGAGGGAACTGGGGTTGTTTAGCCTGGAGAAAAGGAGGCTGAGGGGGGACCTTATCGCTCCCTACAACTACCTGAAAGGAGGCTGGTGTTGGTCTCTTCTCCCAAGTAACTACAGATAAGACAATAGTAAAGTTGCACATGGGGAGGTTTAGATTAGACATTAGGAAAATTTTCTTCACCGAAAGGGTTGTCAAGCATTGGAACAGGCTGCCCAGGGAAGTGGTTGAGTCACCATCCCTAGAGGTATTTAAAAGACGTTGTAGATGTGGTGCTTAGGGACATGGTTTAGTGGTGGGCTTGGCAGTGCTGGGTTAACAGTTGGACTCAGTGATCTTAAAGGTCTTTTCCAACCTAAACAATTCTATGACTCTAATGTTAAGGTCTGGGAAGAGGAATAAAGATTCCAACAACTCTTGTATACCTTTATGCATAAACTCTTTCTTACAAATTTTATAAAAGTTGTAAACAATACACCTACTCATATATTACACATATAACTTCTGGCAGACAATATCTGAAAGAGAATTCACTCCAGTAAAAGTAATTTATTTCATAAAGCTCTGCCTTCAAATAACATTCCTCTATGCAAAAACCCTGCCTGAATGAGCAGAGTTTAAATTCTAACTTTTATGCTTTCTGGCAGCTGAATTTCTGTCTCTGTCCACAGAAAAGATGTAGTATCACCACACTGTGACACCATTAAGCGTTTTGGGTTTTTTTACATCTGTTAATTCACCCTCCACTACCCTCAATCAACTCCTGTCCAACTGTAGCCAAAGGTTAATTAAAGGAATTAGTGACTTTCTGGTTCACATGAAATCGTATACCGTGAATGGCCAGGAAGAACAGTGACACCTGGCAAAACATCTTAGGACCAAAAATTCTTAAAGGTAACCAGGCCAGTTTTTTCAAAAACATACTGACTGCAGTGATGATTAGTTACATCACGATTTTTTAAATCCTCTGGACTAGGCTCTTTTGTAGGAAGCTAACTACCTTTAAAGATTTATGCCCTTTCCTCCCCATTCTTCATATAGTCTTTACTCAAATGGTAAATAATAGAAATTAATGTTTCAACTTACGTTTCTCCTTTGCATTGGTTTCCTCATAACTTAGAGATTTGACTTTTGTTTGATGAATTGGACAACAATAGACTTTGTCACAAGGCAAAATGTCACAGAAATTCACTTCAGGGATCCTGCTGATGGGTTGTGTGCTCTGAGAAATTATGCTTTCCCCCTGCAATGCTAAAGGAAAAAAAAAACCCACACAATCCTTACTAGTGCTGTGAATCTATTGGCATTTTATAATAGCACAGAAATTGAAAGGCTGTAATGTGTATGCAGACCAGCAGAGATACAGTACCTGCTGTAGTGGTAGAGGGAGAGAGTAGAACAGAACTTGAGGTACTGCTGATGAAGAAAAAGAAAAACAATTCCTTAAGAAATGGACATCAGAGTTGTGGACCAAAACAGATTGGTCCACAATCTATTACTAATTCCAATTCACTAACACTAATTTAACTACTTGCCTGTAAATCAGATGTTTTTCAAAATGTCCATCATGAATGCTAAGTAAATATAGGGTCGATATTGTCAAAGCACTGTAGAAAGAGAATTATTCTGTAGATTTACATCCATCTCTTATGTAACATAATATGAATAATACCTTGACAGCACCTTGTCCAAATGTAGTAATGTAAGACTTAACTACCTGATCACTTTCCCTTTAATGGGAAAAATTTTGACTGAATTTAATGGGGTTTAGATCAGATACTTGTATACAGTATTGTATTCATATACTTGTATAATTATGTATATATATATATAAATATACACTTGTATTCAACACAAAATGTGGCCAGTTTTCCATTGTAAATAGAACAACAACACCAGTTCAAAGTACTCAGCTCACAGAGAGATTGTAAGCCATAGATTTTTGGACTGGAAACAGAAAAAGGCAATCTCAAAAGTCCAGAGGATACTTTCCTTTCCACAAGTCGAAAGTCACAAGTTAAACTTTCAGAGTCACAGGACTGCCCGCCACATTGGGAACAAGTCCAGCTTCATTTCACAGAAGAGAATCACTCTGTATATCAGAAACTATACTTTGGCACAGAATGATTGCATAAAAGATGCAGAATCTCCAAGTCCAGTTTTGCACCTGCAGCATGAGCCACCACAATATATTCAAGGTGCACCATACATTGTGACATGGACGGAGATTAGTTGTGTGTGCACCACATGAGTATCTCACTTTTCTAAAACAATTGTAACTTTACAATATTACCAGGTATATTAATTTTTAATTTTAATACATTATGCTTCTTGAGTAGGAAAGGTCAGAAGAAGAAAAAAAAATTGCCATCTTCTTTCTAATGACATAAGTAGAAAGGAGAAGGGAGAAACAAGCCAACTTGTTGACAATTAACTGTTACCATAGTGCCATAATAGCAATCAAAGCTACTATGGTCACCCGGAAAATCTTCACGGAGCAAGACTCTTTCGTCTTTGACAAACAAACCTAGGAAAAAAAAAAGGTTTGGTTGATTTAAGTGGCTTAAGCTACTACTAGTAGATTAAGAAATACTACACTAGTCTGACTTTAAGTTAGCCTTGCTTCTTTCAGAGGAATCATACAAGTCATCCTTATATAGGTGTCATTGTCTAAAGAGAAAAACTTAAGTAATGAAAGGCTACCTAAAACTGTGAGTGCACTGCACACTGTTGGGAAGTCTGGAAACACAAACATTACACAGGAAGAAAGGATGAATAAAAATAACAGCTTCTCTTTCCTTCCTCTCATTTTTCATACTCTTGAAGTATTTCAAGATCAAATTAAGAACTCAGTAAGCAGTGGCCAGAACTAAAAGATGAGCAGCTTTCAGTATATGCTCAGACCATGTTAAACGAGGGCTGGTGTAAATACACGAGAAAGGCACGTTATAAACAATTAGGATGATCTTAGATGATGTAGCATTTGATTGTTATTATGGAATTATGGAACATTTGACCTATTATTGCCTCTTGCTCTTTGGCACTTGCAAAAGCAAGGTAAGCAAATGAGTTCATCTTAAAGAACAGGACTTAGTAGCCTAAGAAGAATGTCTTGAAAAATGTCAACATATATTCCCTAACTTCTTCAATCCCTGTGAAAAGAGGTCTCCTCTTTCTACATGGGCAAGAGGAAGTCATGCAGCAATAGCAACGACATCCTATCCAGGTCTCAACCACCTGAAAGACAGCATTATCCAGTACAAAACAGGAGATGGTAACTGCAAACCGCAATGAAGGACTCATCCAAGGAAGAAAGCTGAGGAAGAATTGCCACTGTGCAGACTTCCAAACTGAAACAATTGTTTCCGTGTAAGGCTGCACTGCACCCGTGTGAGCACACCTACAGGCTCTACAATTATGTCCTCTTGGTCACTTCCTTCACACCATTACACAGCATGGATCTACTATCACACATGCAGTGTATAGGCAAGAAGTAGAAGAGTCTCAGACATATTTTCTATGTCAGTACAGCTAGTTTTAAAGCTTCTAGCATGACATTAAATAATTCTGGCTAAGGAATTTGGTTCTATATTTAGAACATGAAAAGCCTTCGCCAATATTTCAGCACTTAGAAAAACTCATTCATAGGCATATTTAATATATTTAATTTCACTCACCTTGCTGGATTTTAGGAGGACTGATTTTTTTGATGGTAAAAGACTAGTAGCTCGACTATACCTGCTGTGAGAGACAAGATCTCTTTAACACACAAATGCTTCAGCAACTAATAAATGAAAAAGAGACACTTTCAATAGGGCATTAATGTCACTTGCTTTTGCAATTTTAACATTTACAAAGAGAAAGGCAGAAGTGTCATCAGATTCATTTTCAAGAACAAAGGCCTCCAGTTAATTCATTCAGGTGAACGCTATTAAACGCTACATTTGATTTCAAAGAAAACTTGGGGAGATGGTTTAGAAACAGGAAATGCTCATCACTCCCACTGAAGCACTAATGAAGATTCTTTCTTGCAGACAAAGCGCTGCAGATTTCCCTTAGCAGCAATTCCCAAGTTCCAGGGCTGTAACTAGATGTGATATACCCGTGCTTTATGCAACTGAAGGAATTACAAAAATTACTGCAATTTAACAGCATTTCAAATATTAATTTTGTGAGTTCAAAAAATATGAGAAACTTGCAATGTTTGCACAACTTAAATTCTGGAAATGAGCTGAACTCCACTGCCAAGCAAAATCAGTTTTCACTTCTACCACAGATACCACTTTACCGATTTCTGTGCTATCAGAGAACGTCCCAGACAGAGGTACCTGACTTTGCTCTCGTTGCTGACTGTTGACTTTAAACTGCTCAACCGTTTCAGCCTGGCCAGTTTCCTATTCCACTGTTCCAATTCTTCTATTCTGACTTCAAGATTATTTGTTAGTTTACAAAGCTGCTTTACAGCACCAACGTTCTCCATAAAGATCTGATCCTGAGAAGCAAAACAACAACAAAAGCAGATACAGTATATTCATCAATCAGATGTAACAAGCAGTAATGAGCACACAATTCACGTATGTAAGGATACATTGAACAATTAAAATGCAAACACAAGTTATCTCAGTGTAAATGGAATGCACTTATGACTATAGAACCCTTTTGCTAGAGTGCAAAAATTGCTTATGTTCAATTTGCAGCAAATTGAAAATGAGGACTCGCAGAAAAATTTGAAGAATTTAAAGGGCCTTGTGGACCAAGAATTTAAATTATATTTTACCTTAATACTGTGTTGAATTTTAAACCTTAACACTGTCACAACAGGCGCCTACTGTTTGATTTGTAGTGCTGCAGCTGAACACAGATTTCAGAATCCCTTAACAAAATGTACATCTAACCATCTACCTACAGGACTGACTAACCTGGCTCAGACAAGCCAGAGTTCCTATCCATGTTGTACACAAAACATGAATCACTCAGGAATCAGTGAGACAGGGAAAGATCCAAACCAAAGGTTGAGCTGTGATGGCATAATATTTTATTCTCCGTTTCAGCCTCTGTGGCTTCTTACAGGAGTCCTATAAGTTCTAACACCATGATCAGCTCCACAACTAACACAGTTCAGACACCCTCCATTTATTCCTTATGAATATTTTACCCAGGAAAAGCTTTCTATTCTTCTACTACCTGCTTAACATCCAGGTATCAATCTGCTGCTAGAGAAGCCCTCAGTACAACCACCCAAGTAATATGTATTTTATCTATTTCTGAGCCAAAAATTATTACTGATCCACTGCAGGAGCACGGTAACAGCATATTTTCTTTGCTGTGTTTGAAAGAACAGCACTAATGTACAGCCAGACCGATGCCATTAAATCTTGGATGAAGCTATTACTGCAGTTAATGTTGCTAAGTGTTCCAGTCTCGTCAAGCCATGCAGAAGTAAGGCAAAAGCAGTTTTGTCTTTGACATAAATGCTATGCACACCTTTCTTTGAAAGGTGACTGCATTCCACAAAAACAGGCAGTATTTTGTATAAACAGAACCAGAGCACAGGTATTGGTGGTAAGTTGCAAACTTCTCCACTGCCAGAAGACCAACAGCCTGTTTAACTAAAAAGTGACTTCAGAATAACCTCCTGTGCCTAGAACGGTGAAATTATTTATACGGTCACTTGTCCTTGTATCAATGATATGTAGCAGCTGCCCTTTCCATTCTCTTCCAATCATGCATGAATCTCTTCTAGGTGACTTCAACTAGCTGAGAAAATGGCTCATCTGACAAAATGAAGGAATACTTTCTTTGAGAAAAAAAGACTGATTAGAGTTTTACTGCCTCATTGACGACAAAGTACTGAGCACAGTGCAACTGAGAAGAGAAGAAAGATTCTTGTCCCAAAATCCCAAATTTCCACACAGTTGAGACATTCCTCTAGAAAGTAGCAGAGCCTGGTTCAAATGTGTAACGCAATCCGTTAATTTTACAGAGTTTGACAGCTCCAAACAGGTAACTGACAAAGAGACACAACCAAACCAGCCAATATCCTGTTTATCTGGAACTAAACTTGGAATGTGAGATTGTAACAAAGTTCAAGGCCTCATCACCTGCCTAACTGAAAGCAAAGATATGAAGCACTGTCCATTTACTACTCAAGGTGCTGAGCTATTCTGGTGTCAGGAGCTTCTAACATTTAAAGCAGATGTTCCACCTGGACATCAGATGTTCCAAATCTCTGAATTCAATATACATCTTAAACTGTTAGACACAGATCTCACCCCAGAGGTCACAGAATTGACATCCACATGCTGTGCCATAGGTGTTAGGAGAAAGAGGAGAAAGCACAGGTTTACCTAGCCATATTAAAACAATGTCAAAGTGTTTGTGAAGTGATCCCAGACCTAGCCAAGCAGTCAAGAAAACACTAAGCAACACATAAGCCATTGCTGTAATGACTCATTCCTGCTTGGGTCACATCCACAGCAGAATCACAACCCGCAGGGTGCAGTAGGCTTTCTCCATTTGCTAGGTCACTCCCCTGGAAGACATCCTGGCAAGTGTTGTCCAGAGACCCAAGCTACAGAGGAGACAGGGAACACAACAGGCCCAAACAGCACTGCTGTGAGGCACTGTTACAGATGGTATTTTGTGTGATATTTCAGCAAAGAGAGATATAAATTAAAAGCTCAATTGTCCAACCTAAAAGTTTTGTCAGAAAAAAAAGTGACTACCCCAAAGCAGTTTTGTGGGGACTCAAAAATGCAAATGCTGCTGCAGCTGCCACACAATGTAACAGAAAGGGCTAAAGGGCAAAATGAACCTAGTGTCTCTATCTAACACTACTGCTCTTCTATGAGCATCTAGAAATCAGCTACAGGCTGGAACCCTGACGAAATACAGAAAATTTTCTAGAAGTCTCCTTTTCAACAGTATCTCTAGAAGGTGCTCTTTCCACAGCTTTATTCAAGGTCGCCAATTCATGCTTCCTTTATATGGAATACAGCCTAGCAGATTTAACCTATGAATTTAACTTACTTGTAGCCTATCAAAAGAAGACAAGTGAAACGCAATACTTTTTATAGATATTTTCTCCAAGTTTAGTGGTGTAAACTTGTGTTTTTAGAATAATGAAAGAATGTATGATTATAATGAATACAGGATTGTGTTCAAGACATCATCCAGACAAGACAGGGTTACCATTCTGTAAAACTTCCCTCTTCCCACCATTGGCTATAAGCTGCAAAAAGCTGGGAAATGGTCCTTGACCTGCAGTGAACTAGTGCACAGCAGAGGTGCCACTCTGAGCAATGGTCTGGCCAAGTGCTGTCTGCAGTCATGTGTGACTGGACTCTGAGACCAACAGTCCCTTGGAGTCCTACTTCTACAGGAAAAGGAGGAGTAGAGAGCACAGGACAATAGACTAAGGCATTGTTTCCAACCTGAGTATTGTAATTACTTCGTGTGCCATAAACATTTAAGAGTATACGACTTTGGAGCTATAAAAAGGATTTCAGATGGCCCAAAATACCTTCCCACAGAGCACACAGAGGCAGCATTTGTATTTGGTATGAAGTGATTACATCAGGATTAGAGTAAGGAAGTTTTTATTTAACAAATAGAATGCCATCATTGCTCAATTCACTTCTGGAACACTTAATTAACTTAAGCTCTTAAACATAAAAGAATGCTTTGGAGTCCCACTTGTTGGACCAATGCTATGAAATCACTATTCACCTTTATTCAGCAAAGTTAGGTTTTTCCTTTTCTCTTTTATGGTATGTAAATACTTTTTGTCATTAAAAGATTCAGCCATTTACTAATACCTGGTGGTTCACTTTTTCTCAATGATTTGCCAAACGCTATTTTTGTGAATACATGCGGAGGCCTACAGCTTTGTATAAAGCACAGCATATGTTTATAGCTCCATATACAAAAGGAACAGTCTAAATACACACCTCCACTTTCCCTCTCAAGACCATACCTTGTCAACCATGAGGAAGTTTTCTATTTTTTCTCCATCATTACAAGCAACATCTCCAACTTCTCTAACAGCTTGAGGTAAAAGTTCCTTCACTTCCTGGGCTATTATTCCTGTTCATAAGATAACAGAAACTAAAGTCAGGAAACGTAGTGGCATACCATTGACCAGGGTTGTGTGCTTTGAGTTGCCCACCCTAAAAGCTACAGGTAGGGCCAAACATGATCTAGAATTTCTCTGTGGTAGACGGATTTCTAAGATTTCGCTTTTTTTCCATTCCACAGAAAACAAACAGAAACCTTTAGAATTCCCATTTCTCTGCAATAACAGAATTGTCTGTGATCACACACTTAAACCTCTGGAAAAATAACGTCATATCTTTAAAAACTGAAACAGAAGTTGGAAAATTACCAGAAAAACTTAATTTTGGCATTTTTATATCACAAGAGAAACACAGCAAAGTGTGCAATTGTAGTATCCTAAGAAATAAGGATCAAATAGCAGGGCATTAAAAGGCACTATGGCACAATGAATAACAGTGGAACGTAATGAAAAATGGGAACAGAACTGACTGAATACCTGTTTCATGGGTATTTTTTATTCCCATAACAGTTGCAAATTCAGGCTTGTAGTCATACTCCACCAGTCTCATTTGTGTTATTCTTTTCAACTGCTCATTCGTATCGACCTAGTTGGACAAATACCAAGATTCACATGTTGAAACACTACAACCGTCGTGGCATCTAGGACATCACTGAGATAGCAACAACGGCCACTTGGCCAACCTTCACATCGAAAAATATGGACAATCTTCCCGTTCCCCATTAGCAGAGTGCTATCTATATTTGTATTGCCAGTTACCCTTCAGTCTGACAAGTCCCATTTACACAAATATTCCCAGATTCTAAGGTCAGCCTCTTCCAAAGTCCATAGGCGACGGCTTTACAGAAAACAGTGGTATACCCAATTTCTTTAAGCCAGCATTTCAGCACACCCAGGATAAATAAGCTGCTTCATGTGTCAGAACAATGATCCACACATGTGCTGTGGTGCAAACATAAATGCCCTGAATACTCCACAGGCCTCACCTCCCGGATATTCTGTTTTGCTCGGCTGTCAGATGGATGCATGACTCTGCCCATAACTTTTGCATTTCCGCAGACAACCAGTGCTTCGTCTGGTGCGTCTGTGTTAATTCCTACTCGACCATGATAGACTATCGTCTCTGGAACATGTCCTCGCTGCCACAGTACATCACTGTCATTCTCAAACTGCCCTGGGTTAGATGCCTGGAAGAAAAAAATATGTTTAAAGATACAGTATAGCATAGATGTACTATTGCTTATCCATTAGAAATTCAGGGAAAATGAAATGCCAAATCTTTAATATTTAAATTGTATCCAAGAGCTTTTCTAACACATCAACATAAAAAAAAACAGAGTGGAGTCACTTCTAAGTGTTTCTGCTCACACAGCATTGGCCTCATTACTTTTTCTCTTGAATTCTACTTTATTATCACCTTAAGCTAAATTGCCAATGTCCAAGGCTTTCCAAAATTTAACTTCAACATTATGCCATGCAGAAACGGCATTCTTTATTTACCAGCAAATTTTGGCTGAGGCTGGAAATCAGAGAAGAGCAAACAAGGCAGAGACTACACACATGTGGTTCATAAAATCCTCTGCAATGTTTTAAATTAACACATATTAGAAATTTCATATCAAGGAAACGGGATCTTTCAAACACCACCAATAAAACAATGGAGTGGGTCTAATTAGAAAAGGCATTTTATTTCAATAATTAATTTTGGGTTTTAAACTTTTAATTCAAGCTTTAAAATTTGAGTCTGAACAAAAGTATGATCACAATAAAAAGTTCACACTCATTTAAAGAAGACAGGCTTTCACAAGGCTTCGCCATCTGCAACGTGTGGTGCTGTGCATTTGCACTGTTTATCACAACTAGAGCATGATCTGATATGCCTGATAACCACTATCCAGCTGGTAGTTTTGTTACATTATGTTTAGGGGCCAGAACATGAGTTGCTTTCTCTCACAGTGCATTTGCACAGCTTTGCCACTTTAACCAGTGGCTGGCTCACTGTACCCTGACACTGAAGCCCTGTCAGACATCTGGAAAATTACTTCTTTTTTCTTTCCAGCTTTGCTGTTGACATTTTCACCACTTCAGATCACAGCCTCTTGATCCTGCTTTTCTGCCTTCTTTTGACTTTGTCTGGAACAGTGGCCAGGTTTGCAAAATCTCATTCCCTGGATTCCTATTAAAAAAACTGTCTCACACACATCAAAGGAGCTCTCTTCATTGAAATTTCAAAAGAATCTAACATTAAAAATGGTAGGAAAATGTAAATTGCTAAATCTTACATAAAAATACATATCTTATAAGGTAGCAATTATCCCAAAGGTGAGTCAAATGTGAAAATTCAACAGCTTTCACAAACCAGTAAAGAGATGATATTTCTAACAGTGCTAGATGCAGAAAGAGAAATTGAGACAAAAGCAGCATTGTGGAAATCAATAGACAAAAAAAGGAAAAGAACTAAATATGCAGGAATGATACAAACATAATGCTTCAGTGTCCTGAAATAAAAGAACCCACAGCAACAGCCAGGATGATAAAACTTCTCAGCGGAGCAGAAAACCACTGAACTCCAAACACTGCTTTCAAAGCTCTGTCGCAGCTCCACCCAGAAAGGAGCTCTCAGGGCCACAGAGCCCTCCAAAAACCCAACTGTAACTGCAGGAAGAGGGTTTACAGCACAAGAGGACACAAAGTTGAGGCCCAGACAAAAAGGAAGCCAGGACTGAAATCATTTGAAAGCCCTCATCTTCCTTTGGCAGCCCTTGTGCAACACCACACATACTGGATTTGCACTTTTGCTCTCTCCAAACCCTAATGCTAAACTAGGCTGTAATCATAAGCCTCGGCAGTCAATGTGCCACCAAAAAGGGCCCAGACAATGGCCTGCAAGGACTAAAACCTGTTGACAGTCCTCACCTTTCTTTAGGGGCCCCTTCCCAGCCTCACTTATTACACTAGAACTCTTGATCTTATTTGACTCTAGAACAAAATGCTAAGCCTATTATAAGCCAAGGACTAGAGAGACTTCACGCAAACAAGAGGCAGCTCCTTGATTGGCCCCCACAAAAAAAGTTCGCTGGACTGCAGTCTTCCAGAGGGCCTCACCATCCTTTGCAGCCCCACCACATGGCACCTGTGCATTTCCTATCTTTCTAAGTCCTAAATATAATCTTCACCCTAGAAATAACCATAACCTTAGGCTATGGTCAGTACAAATGTTAACCACCAGCTATTAGTCACACAAAAAAAGAGGCCAGGACTGAAAGCTTTTGGCAGCCCCCACCTTCCCTTAGCAGTCCCCTTGCAACCCCACTCATGCTGGGGCTCTGCACTTTCTCTCTCTCCTAACTCTAATACCTCCATTACAATAGAGCTCTGAGTTTTTTTCCTCTCTTCCAAGTCTAACTCTAACTGTAGGCTAAAGCTGAGTACTAAAATGAAAACTTTATGTTGATCAGGGGACTGAAAAGTAATGGTCATGAGGAAGAGAGATCAATTTTTCCTTTTTCTGTTTTGAAACCTATATTATAACCACCAAACTAAGAGCTGGGACACTCTGGAAACACACTGGAAAGGGGCAGCTACGGGTCTTAATCTTCCTAGAGCTGCTTGACCTTCTTTCCTTGAATTTATTTGTCATTCTCATCCTCCTTTGAAAATCAAGCATCCAGCCAATGAAAGCATTTACCAAATTCCTGGCAAGTGCAGGACATTGTTTCATCTCAAAGAAAAAACAACCTGGAAAAAATCAACATATTTGTTATTGGAATTCATAACAAGCTTTCTTTTTAAATTCTTCTATAGTTCTACTTTTAACATTTTAAAATCATGGTAATTAAAAGATAACAGCATACTCATACAACATGCAACTGCAATTTTTTTTTCTACCTACCCTCACAATGATCTTTTCAGAGACATTTGCAGACAGTAGGTAGAATTGCTCCTGAGAGACAGCATACAGTCCGACTACCAGCATGAAGTATCTAGTTTGAAATTGATTGAATCAAAACAATAATTGAAGTAATGTCTTCTCACAGAAAAAAAAAAAAAAGTGTTTTAAATACAACTGCTATTATTAATACACAAAAAGATAGCCAGAACTTTTTTTTAAATGCATATGCATCACAATATGAAAGAAAAAATATTTCCTTCAGTCTCAAGGAATATGTGCTTTGAATCCCCACAATCACTGAAAATGAACAAAGGTTACAGCAATTTTGACTAATTTAAGTAATGAAGACTTAAAGATGAAGACCCTTCCTTCTCCAAATGAAAATTATCATTATTTGGTTTTTTGGCTTCCTGATTTCGTCAGTCATCATTCTGGCCATGATTTCCTGAAATAGTCTCTAACCATGAGGATGAGATATTTTCTTTTATTCTCATATCATTCTGTGACTCTAGAAGAGAGGCCTTTAAGCTGATACCAAGCATCACAGAATTTGAAATAAAATCACAGATTTGGCAACGCTGAGGTTTTTCACAAACATCAGCTCCATTCTAAAGCAGACCTTCTCTTTTCCACTTCACATACTCAGGCCAACTAGCTACAGCAATACCTCTGGTCAGGATTAGGTTTCCCCTTTTTTCTCATATTATTTGCTGTTGTTTCACTGAAATGCAACCTTCCCAGTGTTACTTTAGTTATCTGGTCCCCTGGCAGATCAACTCTAAAATAGAAAAGGAAACAAGATCAGGGAAATAAGCATTTGATCTACCTGGCTTAAGCCGGATTTCCTCAACTTAAAACAGTTTTGAGAAAAACTGACAAATGAAAAATACAGAGAAACCCCAGTAAAAACACAGTAACCCTGGTTTATAATAATGCATTAAAAACACAGTGACTCTGTCAAGGAGATAAACAGGATAAAGCACCAGCAGTGGGAAATTGTTCTTCGTAATAGAAGTCTTGGTTTTTCTTGGTCTGTTTGTAGACAGTCTTGAACATAATAAAACTGTACGTGTTCCATATGATGGGTATTTGCTGCTTGCCAAGGTTAACATTGCTTATTATTGGATCTGAATTTCCACATTAAAACTAATTATTTTACTGCCTGTCTTTTTTTCACCTGCATCTAGTTTGTACATCTGGAACTATAAAATATATACCACCTATGTCTCAAACACGTATTGGCACTGCTCCTGTAAGTGATAAATAATATGAATAGAGAGTTTGCATGGAGAAAACCACAGTCCACCAGTCACCCATGAAACAACTTATGCACACCCGGAATCTATTTGTCAGTATGCAAAAGGAAGAAAAATGACATGATAGGAGTAATTTAGTGAAAATCAAGCTCTTCTCTCAAGCTCAAAGTTCTTTTTTGCAAATTATATATTGCAGCCTTTATCCCAGCACTGTCCTGTCAAATTTGACACTATCTCATCTTTTCCTGTTTTAAGGCTTATTTCATTATTTATAGAGAACAGAACAGCTCCAACAGAAGACACTTATGCCAGAAAAACAAACATTGATTCTGCCAGTGAGTGAAGATGCGTAAGAATGGCAGAGAGTCCAAGGGAGAAGCTGCATGTATGTTTCTAGCAAAGGCACTCCCCCTTAAAAGCACTGCAAATACATCTCGTGCCCATGTACAACAGGAACACTACTGACATTTTTTAAGATGGTAAATGCATCTGCCCTACAGCTCTAAACACCATACAATAGTGTTGCTAGCTGAATAGAAGTATTTTGGATAGGCACACTTCACACATTTGTAAAGCTGCTGAAAATTTTCCTTAATGAAGAGAGACCAGGTATATACTACTACTGTGATTCTATGTATGCACCCAGAATGGAATTTGGATAAAGATCATAAAACTGGCTTAGACCTACTAGAAGTTTCCAAGAAACAACTACTTCACATTTCAGACCAACCACATATTGAAATAAAACAGAATAAATTTCTCAAAATTCTTACTTGACAGGATGGAAAGTTTTTTTGCTTCGATCTGACTGAGACTGTTCAATAGTAATTGTTTGGTTTGGAGCTTCCACCTATAAAGAAAAAGAAGAATTTTCAAAAATTACACGAATATTAAATTTTCAAACACATAAAATCTGAAATAGAAATTAATAGGCAAACTGTGTTTGAAACAGTGAAATCTCTCTTATTTCTCATGGAACTACACAGAAATTAACACAGGAAATGCCTCCTGCCCAGTTGGCACCTGACAGCTAGTCTGAAGACCCAAGTCCTTCTGTGGACGTCATTTGAAAGAAAGAGAAAAAAAAAAAAAAAAAGGAAAAGTCATGCATCCATTTGCAAAAGAAAAATTGCTTTCTGAATCTAGACTGTTCAGACTGTTATTAGCTCTTTCTATCCCAAAGCATAAATGTAGATATTTAACATGAGAACTGAAACTATGCAAGGCAGTTCCAAAAGTTATTTTAATGTAAATTTCTGTGCCTTTCCAGAACGGTACCAAGCAGCACTTTGCTTCAGATGTGAACAGATGACAGTAATATTCACTAATTTCTTCTGCATTAGAATGCATTAATCAAAACTGGTAGTATTTGCCTTCTAAAATAGCTACCTGGATTTTTTAAATCACTGAATTTTGGTAGTAAGTAAAAAACCTGGCAATATTTTAGAAAGATTAAAATTTCTTACTACTACTGTATATGCAAGCTTGTAGACCCATATTGGCCAGGAATAATTTAGTTCTTGAAATGAAAATGGAAAGCCTGACAAGAACGTGCTTTGGCGGGGGAGTTGGACCAGATGATCTCCAGAGGTCCCTTCCAACTCCTACCATTCTGTGATTCTGTGAAGAAATGTGGGAATTTTCTTGGTTTTCTACACCTGAACTGTTCAGGGAAAACAGATTTGATTCTTTTTGACCAATTGGTAGACTGGCCACCTACACACCAGCTGACACCCCTGCACTGCCCACAGAGGGAACAAAATTTCAGCCAAAGAGAGGGACATCAGTGAAACCACAGCAAACAGGCAATCATGACATCTTTATGCATATATCAGCATAAGAATCCCTAAACCATTACTTTTTTTGCAGAGAGTTCCACACGGAAGTCACTAGTAACCTAAAAGTGTTCTCTTTTGTCAGTTCTTGGTCAAAAATGACTAAGAAAAGAGTGCATTTTAATGATTTACCTCATTATATGGATAATCACATACTAATTTACTAAAAGTAATAATCACAAAGAGGAGAAACACTTGCCTTTATTCCAAAAGCTTTCAAGAAAAACTTTTCTATTGGTTTCCCCCCCAGCTGAGTTTTGACATATTTTGGATGTCCAGTGATTCCAATATGGACTGTGATTTGGAAATGATTCTTCTTCTGGCACACAAAGGCATCATCTGTTGTTGAAAAATTAAATCCTTTATCTGTGACAATGTGATATCCTACAGCAGGTCTGCAAAAACAAGAAGAAAGAACAGCAACTTTAAGCACAGGCATATTTGAGTGACATCTTGAGTTCCTATATTTTATATGGGCTGAAAATCCAACGGATTTTTATGGGCAAAATGTGAGCCAAAATACATCTTTACAATCATCAGTTCTACCAGTATTTTTTTCTTAGCCTCTTAGAGGTGTAAAACTGAAAATGCGTACAAAATGTACTCTAACTCTAGTCTGGCACATGAAATGTTTGAAAACCAGAGGCAGAGAAGCTTACATAACCCTCACTTATAAATCAGGTATAAAGGAACTCTGTGCACCTAAAAGCACAACCAGACCTTTTAGCATATTCAAGCGCTCATTATAACACTGCTATAAAAACCAGAGCTGAATGAGTGCTGCAGACAACAACGTGCTAATGAGCCAGCAAGACTCCCTAGTTTGTTCCTGAATTCTCACAGCAAGTGCCTCTGCAGGAGCTGCTAGGATTCAAATAAAGCTTTACTCAAGCTAGAAGAAAAGCTATCAATACTGACCCTCCAGCCAGACGACTACAAAACTCTCCTTTACAATGTTGTCCATCCCTCCCTAACTAAGGAGACCTTACTCTATTTATTCAAAGGGCTAATTTGTTACCCAAAGAGGAAGAGTATTCTGTCCTTATGATTCACAACAAACAAGAAAAAAGTATCAAGAGATCTTTCTAAAAGAGCCAGTGAACTCACCATCCCAACAATGTTTCCAGTCCTCTGATTTAAGTGATGGATAATTCTGAATTAACAGGACTTCATGGCAAGGCTCTCTTGTATGGGCATTGGCTTTTCTTGCTAATGAAAGTTTGATAATGATGATCTCGTCTGATGCTACTGAGAACCTCTCATTAACACAATTACTGAAGATAGCTTTTCAGAACTCATCCATTCATTTGCACATTATTAGTTGGAAAAATCAAAACGTACAGACTTTACAAGAAACGTACAGACTTTATTATCTTTTTATAAATTATTAACAAAAGGTCCCTCTCAAACAATCACTGACTATCTGGGAGAGGGAATAAAGAGAAAACTACTTTGTAACTACTTCAAAACTACTAAGTCATATGTTAATTTGTGTTTAAAATTATAATGAAGTGCCTAGCATCTCCTCAAACCATCATTATTAAAGAAGCAAAACTTCTTCAGTTTCTTCCTACAACTGGTAATCCTTTTTACTTAGGTAGGCAAAGTGTGTATTTCATAGTAGAGAAAGGAGTCATTTTTCAGATTTAGATGTGAAGGAAGTTCACTAGCTGACATTCTCAAAGCAATTGCAGAGTATTTGCTTACACAGAGGCAAGCGGATTGAGAAGTAAAAGTACAAATTTCCATTTCTCCAAGTTGAATTGTTTGGAACAATGACTCCCAAAGAGGATTTTCGTCTTTATCATTTTCTGAGTATGCCAATTACAGTAAATAAGAGCAAAAACATATTTTGATCTGATTGCACAAAGAACGGCCAGTCTTACCAAGCAGTACAGTAAAACTTGGAAGAACTTTTAGGTAGCAAGGGATATCACACAAGCATCCCTACTAGAAATACACTTCAAATTCCACTTTCTATTCAGAATTTGAGACTTCAGACAATGTCTTTGGAAGAGAGTCCCACCAGTCACAATGGTAATGAGGCAAGGAGCTAAGTAAGTGCCAAGCAGACACAATGTAGTGCATAATTGATGGTAGAGTAACTTTTTCTAATAAATCTACCTCAGCTAACAGCATTTTGTTGCAAAAACGAAATAATCAAAAGGTTAAAATACTGGATGAACAAAATGGAAAACAATAATTAACCTAAGAAACATCCTTAAAGTGGGCACAGCAATTTAGAGGTACAGGACCAATCCATCTACACTGAGCAGTGATAAGCACATGAGTCTTTTGAGGCTAACAGAATACAGGATCACTACTCAGAACATCTGTGTGCTGTGCCATAATTACAGTGCATCTTGGAACTGAGGCACTGCCATTGACCTCACTTAAAAGTAACACTGACTTCCTCTGCAAATAATATCTCAACCCCCTTCCACAGTAATGGCCACAGTATGTGTATTTGGATGCTTTAATGCTCAGCATCACGTTACCTTTGTTGGCACAAGCCACCAAGAAATGAGAGTCTGGAACTTCAAATTCAAGTGTATGGGAACCAACAAGCAATTGAGTAGAGGCAGGAGAGCAACCTCCCACCATCAGCTCACAGCTGTCATGTAGCCATTGACTGAAAGAGTAACAGGAGTTGGGAGCCACTTCCATCTAGAGTGACAATTCACATGACAAACACAGCTGGAGGTTTCTTGGCCCATCCAGCCCCCAAGGAGTAGAAAGGTGTGGGCACTGAGCTGTCTGCTCTTTTGCATGTCAGCACCTTAGCAGAAGGGTTGTGTGGGACACAGCAAGATGTGTATTGCCCCTGTCACACTGCGCACAAACAGGGAATGTCAGTGTTCAGCAATGACAATGATACACTCTAAACTCCCATGAGTGCTTTTAGCAGGTTGGACTAGAGGAAAAATAAAATTTAGTGTGCTATTTAAGTCCTGTGGAGACAGTGACCAATTGTTTGCACCAATCCTGGGGAATAAACCAGACAGGGTTTTGGTTAAAAGGGATCATTCACTAAGGTCTAGAATGAAGAAAACAAAAAAAAAATTATTTACAGTTCTGATTTATTCAGGAAAACACTACATCTTGGACTAAAGAGCTGCACATCATATATATATGTTCATAGTTATTAAGCCTTAGGTTATATGAGCCCAGAAATACTACAGGTATCTTTAATGATTTAGGCCATTAGAGGGAAAGGTGCCATGTGCTCAGTAATTACTTGCCCCAATGTGTTTGACAAAAGAAACAAAAAATTAACAGGTATTTTAATTTGAACTCATTTTTCTTTTGCCCCCAAATCCCTGAAATCAGAAAGCCTGGCACAATTTCAACCAGTGTTTAAAGTTCTGCTTATCTAGTACATCTGCAGATTCATATTCCATCATGCCTGCTATACCTTGTTCTCCAGTCTTCTTTTCAGTACGAACAAGGGATGTCAAATGTATCTTTTATTCCTACAAAACTACAAGACCAGCAAAAAAAAAAACCCAGGAAACCACTTTTTCCAAGTGCAAACATCAGTGCTTACAGTTTTTCATAATTAGAGTTAAATAAGCTGTTCCACTGAGAAGTTTGATACGGTTGCCATGTTAGAGCCTGACAGCATCTTTCCAAAGCGGCGTTTTGTCCATCACTGTCATATTCTTGCACTTCAGCTGCACAGTCCTTAACAGTTGCTGTAGAGAGATAGTGACAATTCAGTTATTGCTTTTGTGAGTAGCCAAAAATCCTGCATAAATATTTTTATAAATATATTTACATATATATACATACATATAGAGCACCAATATATTGCATATACAGTTAAAACTGCTTGTCCTTTGCAGTTATTCCAGAAAATTGCGTTATATTCTCCTGCCCTAGAAAATAAATTTTTCAGCTTTTCTGATTTGTAAAATATTACACAAGTAGCACTTTCTAATTTTATTTTCTCCAAAAAGAGGGATAGTTTTCTTTGGGGGGTGGAGGGGAGGAAAGCTAAGCATTTTACTGATTTTAATGTAAATCTGCAGCACTGCAAGAAGTAATTAAGCAAAATAATTACATATGTTCTCCATTCTCTCTACTACAGGTTTAAACTGAATATACTCCAGCTCACTGCAACAGGTACTTCGTTCCAGAGCAGGAGGCATAGTTTTTCAACAGCAAGTACGTTCATCATTACATCTGTTTGACTGCTTAATGCTTTCTGAGATATTATATGTTTTATGAAGACAAAAGAGAACGTGATAAGAGACAGATAAATGGAGTACAGTAAGGACAGGAGAAAATATGTCATTGAGCATTTAAAGGTAAGATCCATCCGCAGTCAGTGGCAGCACAGTTAAGACAGAGCCTACAGAATCATTTCAGGCCCAAGCTTGATTTGCAATTTCCCACTTCTGACATACAGCAGAGTGAAAATATAAGACAAAACCTACCCTGAAGAAATTCACACCTCATTTCCAAATGATCCCTATTCCATTTTAACCAACGGCTGTGTTCTTTTTCCAATAGCACGTGTGTCAGTGCAATTCTATTTGCAGTGACTCCCAAGGAAAACATATTTCAAGGCCGTGTCTTTATGTATTAAAAACAGCAATAGCAATTTTAAATACAGAAGCATCTACTCATCCTCTTTCCATCAGTGGTATACTTAGAGGACTAGTCATAATCAAGAAACATTGATCAAATAAAAGATAGCAAAGGAAAAGTAACCTACTAAATCCAGCTGCTAATCATTAAAAGTGTTCTAAAAGATTGCTTTAGTGCTGAAAAATAACCTACTTCGAAGAAATAATGAGCAACTCTCAGATTTTCCACTAATAGACGAGGGTGAAATTCCTCAGATAAGCTGTTCATTACAACTGTTCATTCACAGAGAGCCTCACACTTCACAGAAGCTGATCCATTTCTGTACATGCCTGATAAGCTTTTTTGTATTAATTGGTATAAGCTTAGCATTTTTATCTTGATAAAACAATGAACCAAATTAATTTGAGGAAGGCATGAGGAAAAATACACAGCTTTTACCAAGCTTGCGCATGAATACTCTTTGTAGAAAAAATACAGAGTTGAGATGATAAAGGGAAACTCCAATCTGTTTGCTCATCAACCACATTAATTCCCTGTTAAGCTGACCCAAGATGGTTTCTTTGCCCGGTCAATTTTAGTGCCTACCAAAGTCATCAGAATATGGTGACTCCTATCATCTGCATACTGCAGGCTCACACATGGAGAAGGGCAGAATATTCTGTCCAGAGAGTCCTCAGGAAAAATGAACGCCTAATGCTTCTTCTCTCTCCACCAAATATAAATAGGTCCTGGTTTTCAAAACCCTGAAAAGGTAAGTTCCTTCAAACCTGGTAGTGGAGTACAGAACTGTTAATACCACTACCTTTTCAGAGCCAGCAGGAGCTGTGCTTTTAAAATATTTACTTGTCTATGGCATGAAGCATTACATTTCATCTTCACATGGTTGCTTACCTTGTCTGGAGCCCTGAGACCGGACTGGAGAATCAGTGGCATCTCCCAGTAATTGTGAGAGCTTCCTTTTTTTCCCTGATGCTGCAGAAACACTTTTTTAAAAACACACGTTGCATTACTTATTTATAAGTGTAAATACAGATATTAGAGAATCATAACAAGAGAACACTCAGGTATCTCATTCTAACTGTATTGTCATCCAAATTCTGATTTTCCAGGGGCAGGAGATTGTTGCTGGCTTTTTAAAACTACGCAATTTTTATTTCCAAAACATAAATTAGTTTTTTATTTCACATGAATAGAGAAGTTGATATCTCTTTAAAAATTTGCACAGTGCATAAGCAGCAGGGTCTTACAGTTTCCTGACATTTGCACTAAAATCACAGCTATATATTGAAAAACTGTACTGCACTGAGCATGAACTCACTTTCCTTCTTATACAGAAAACACTAGCAGCAGTTAAACTAATGCGTTAATGAAGAGATCTCAAGGGGCAACTGCTGGATGACAGTTTTCCCCTCCATTATGCAAAGGGGAAAGCAACTTATTCCAAAGTTTTGATATTATAAAATGTAAATTAGAATATCCTGACAGATGGCCACCGCTTCTGGATGGGGGTAAAAAATCAAGCCAAACTCCAGGTCTCAGTCAGGCCCAGTAGGTATTCAAACTAAGGTTTCTCCATGAGTAAAAGAAAAGCCTGCCTGCCACACTAATTGTTATCCTTTTTCTCTGTTGTCCTGAAGTTCCACATTTGGTCAAGAAGTATTTTGTCCCAATAACCAAAGTATTCCCTCAAAAAATAATATGATTTTGACTAACTGGCACCTTCTACTGGAACACAAACAAACAAAGAACACAAATGGCTCCAAGCAGAAACCCAGGCCCAGCTTCCTTCCCCCACATCACATGTAACACGTAACTGAGCTCTGTACAGGAGCCAGAGCATCCACAAGCCCAGGACTAACAGTGATGAATTCACATTTCTCTCCCCATAGTCAAGCGGGTCCCCCTCTGGCATGCATCGGTCAATTCATTCTTACTAGGTACCACGGTTGGATGCTTGCACTGGCCAGTGTATTTTACAGAACATTTACAAGATCCTTATGGACAAACCCCTACAATAGGTACCACAAAACACCTGAATATTTTTATAATCCAGTAATGAAGCACCTGTTGATCCCTCTGAAATCCATTCATACTTCAAATCTGAGCTTCAATCAAGACGTTTAAAGAACCCTCAACCACAAGTGTCTCAAAAAATGTCTAAACACTGCCATCCTGTGGAAAACCCTACACCCACGGGGATTTTACACGAGTCTTAAATCATGTCTTCTACCAGCTCTGCTTTTTTTGTATATCTGCCTTGTCCTTTGCATAAAAGCTTTATCATTTACCCAGAAATCTGAGATGCATTTGGCTGAAAGTATGAATAATTAAAACTCAAACAGCTGGAGGATGTAGAATGATTCCAAGGAGTCACAGCATTTTCTGTCTTCAGGCAGCAGCCTTGGGGGATGGTGCAAGGATGCCCAGTGGCACTGGGGTCAGGGTAGGTCTCCATGAACATACAGGGAAGCCTGCTGGGTGCCACAGCAGATGGGCATGGGAGCGGAGGCTGCAGCCCACTGGGCCATGTCGTGTCATACCATGGGGCTGAAAGAAGTAAACAGACAAGAAAGTAAGGACAACGAAGAAGAGCTGGAGACTTTCCTACAAGCTTGGGAGAGGCTGAATTCATGTGACCTACTCTGGAGCTGTGGTGGAGAACATGGTTCTGATCCAGAGTCTGGTGGGGAGTCTGGCAACTGGCTTTGCCTACGGATGAAAAAGAGATTTTAATTTCTACTGGGAGGAGTCATGGAGGATGATGTGGAGGATGACCATAAAGCAACGCTGAAAGCAGCTGGAAGGGTACCACCAAGCTACTGACAAGGGTCTTCAGGAAGCATTGCTCACCATGGTTACTGCCCTTTCTCACAGGAGCAACATCACTTACACTTCATCAGACCACCTCCTGCGGCTCTTCACCTCCCCCTCACTGCAGGGAGGCCCCATCCCTAGCAGCAGTTGCCCAAAGCCCCCTCCATGACCCGCTGATTTCAATCGTCCTTCTTTCCCACGACCAATTCTTCCATTACCTCCAGGCATGTCAGCAACTCTGAATACACGGAGCTCACAAGGGCTTTAAGCCCATTCTCTCTAGACTACAGATTAAAGATGTGCAGCACCTTCATCCACTAGCTGATTTCTTAAGACCTGAGTTTGGCTGAAGCGCTCTTGGTCTCTATCAGATGCTGGCAGGTTCCATTTTGGCACCTTGCTCACCAAGAGAGGCAGCCCAGGTACAGAGGGAAGCAGGGGCTGCCACACAGGTGGGAAGTGCATTTGCCCAGTTTGAAACAAGTGCTTTTACAAGCTCACCAAAAAGATCCAGAGGCTTAACGTGGGGTTTCCATGGGTGATAAGCTACCTTCCCCCTCTTCAACCCCACACAATCTTCCAGTTCCGTTTGGATGAACATAGTAGGGGACAAAGAATTAGTACCTTCTATGCTTAAATCACAAAAGAACTGAAAGAGTACTAACAGGTCTGTCCCAACAGCCTCCTCAGAGAAAAGTTTTGAAAACAAAACAAATAGACAAACAAACCCCTCATTCCTCACAGAAGGAAAGCCATTAAATCGTGTTTTAACCCAAACACCATTGCTGACCGATTATTTCCACCACCTGAGTTTATCACCGGGGAGAATCTCCCCGCATGGCTGAAACCTGCCTACAGAATAACCTGTACGGGGGCGCCGGGCAGGGCCTGGGCAGGGCCTGGGCAGGGC